CTCAGCAGTGTGCTCGGTTCCTTTGGCGCAATGTCGTTTCCCGTTTTGGCGTGCCCGTACATCTCATCAGCGATAACGGTCGCCAATTCGTAAGCCAGTACTTTCAGAATTTCTTGGCCACGATCGGGACGACTCACGTCCGGTCGTCGGTGGCTTACCCGCAGGGGAACGGTCAAGTGGAAAACGCTAACCGGACGATTTTGGAAGGTCTGAAAAGGAAGTTATACTCGGCCGGTCGTAGTTGGGCCGATGAGTTGCCATATGTCTTATGGACTTATCGAACGACCCCGAGGGAAGCTACTTTAGAGACCCCTTTCGCCCTGGTTTACGGAGCTGAAGCCCGCCTCCCGATCGAGGCTTGGGTCCCGACCGATCGAGAGAGAACCTACAACGCGGAGGACAATGAACACGCCATGGCTGTGGATCTCGATGCGGTCGAAGAAAAAAGAGAGCTAGCCGCTCGGCGGATGGCCGAGTACCAGAAGCGCGTCAAGAGCTCGAAGGACGTTCGGGTCAACCCTCGTTATTTTCAAGTCGGAGATTATGTCTTACGACGAAGGGAGGCCAGTCAACCTTTAGAAGGGGGAAAGCTAGCTCAGAACTGGGAAGGGCCGTACATCATCAACGCTGTCATCCGGCCGGGAACATACCGACTAGAGACAACGACGGGTCGGCTAATAGAGGGGACTTGGAATTCCGAGCACCTCGTTCTTTTTAGGCATTAGCCTATTTTTTGTATTTTTAGACGAAGTGGGGGCTGGACCTGCGAGTTAGTCCCGGTCGTCATTTCTATGTAAATTTTATGGTTGTAAAATTAGTTCAACCGCCTGCGAGCGGGAAAATTTAATGTATATACGATCAGTGATTGCTCGACCGTTTGTATGCGGCGGCACGATCGGTTATTTTCTTTCACCCTCGTCATGAGCAGATCAGTTCAACATTCAATCGATCGGACGAAGTCTGTCGACCGGTCAAAACGCGCTCCACATAGGCGGACGCTCAAGTCACGCCACCGATCGGGGAAGCCAGGAGCTCTCGGCATTATTCCCCGATCCGTCCAACTTCTTTCCACGACTGCACCCACTCGTGCCTCGAGCGCACAATCGTGTGGGGGCTGAGATGAAGGAAGTGTTTGCAGGCCCGTCGCTCGGTTACACCCTGACCGAAGAGGCTTGCGTATTTTTCAAAATTTCGTCAAGGCCTAAGAACCGGGTAATCCCGCTCAGGTTGGCCAATTTGACGGCGAGTACTTACGGGCCCGTCGCTCGGTTATACTCCGACCGTAGGGGCTTATGCATCTTCACCATTCTCGGCAAAGGCCTCGAGATCGGGTAAACCCGGTCGTATGGCCAAGTTGACGTCGAAATCTCAAAGCTCCGATCGGGCCGTTGGGCCATAGGATCGGGTCTCGAACAAGTCGAGCTATGCAAGACCGGGCCATAAGGCCGCAAGGTCGAGCATTAAGGATCGACATTTCTATGTTATTTAAAAGGAAAAGTACGAAAGGGAAGACGAGCGGTGTAAGGAAAAGTACGAAAGGAAAAGTAACTTTTCATTCATAAAAAAGATGCCCGGTACAACTCGGGACCGGGCTCCCAACTAAGGTCTCTTGACCGGGCTCCCGAAAAGCCTAAATCTACTTCTTCGCCTCTTGAGCACTGGCGGTCGCCTCTTTCCCGCTCGAGGCAGCCGCCGACGAAGCCCCAGGCTCGGTTGCCTTGGCTTTCGGGGTCGGGGTAAAGGGTGAGGGACCGGGATCTGCCACGTCCGGGGGTAAGGCTGACAAGACCAGTTGGAGATCATCGGCGTCGAGGGCCTCCTCCAACCGCTTGCGGGTGCGTTCAAGCATTTTCTGCTTCCCGGCCGTAAAGGCCCATTTCCCGAACGAGACGATCAACTCGTTCCCGACCTCGTCTCCTCGGGCTGCTGTTAGGAAGGCCGTGCCCAGCTCCTTGTCCTTGAAGGCTGCCCGCACCAGCTCGCTCGGGTTCTCGAGCTGGGCCTTTAGCTCCTTGGCCTCTCCTACCGCCCGGCTGGCGACCTTCTCGGCGAGAACCCGGTCCTCGTCGCTCTTCTTCAAAGCCTTCTGGGTTTTCTCCAGTTCGGCTTGGAGCTCCTTGATCTCCTTCAAGCGACGGGCGGCCGTCTTCTTGTGGTGATCAGCTTCCTCGGCCAGTATAGCCCGACCTTGCAGGAGCTGAGCGGCCCGGGAAATCTGCGAAGATAAAAGACACTCGGGGTTAGCCCGATCAGCAACACTTCAACAAAAAAGCTGTTGGTTAAGAAGAGCTTACCGCGGCCAGGTCGTGGCCGATCCGTTCAGCCACTTGGGTCGGGGTCATCGTCCCCAGATCCTCCTTGACCGGCGCGGCGTTGCCGATCCGGGCCAGTATGGACGAGGAGTCCCTTTCTCGCCCGACCGAAGGGCTCGGGCTGTGCTGATCACGGCGGCGCTTCATGCCGCCTACCTCGGTCACTCCCCGCTCGGGGACCTTCTCCTTTCCCCGGGCGACCTCCACCCGAGTGATCAGAACGTCGGAGGGCTCGACGATGAAGCCCTCGCCCGTCGTCACGGTCGAGGCGCTCACTGGTCGGCCGGAGGGGATCTCCTTCTCCCCGGATGGCTTGGTCTTCGCCTTCTTCTTGCCGCCAAGAGAGATCTTGGCGGGCGGGGGAATGGGGGGCATCCTCATCACCGAACTCGGCCATTGCTACAAACAAACAAAGAAGAAAACCCAAGTTAGTGCGAGCGTAATATAGAGTTCAGGTCGGGATAAACGGCTCGGGTTAAACCTTTCTTCCTTCGCCTCGAGGGCTTGGCGACCGTTACGCCCATCGGCACGGGCAGGTACTTCTCCCTTAGCTCGTAGGTCGGGGGCGGGAGCTGGGCTGCTTCCAGACTGTCAGCCGTCCGGAAGATGGTGTACTCATGAATCTCGCTCGAGATCCGAGCAACCGTTTCCTTGAGCGCCTGAGTCTCGTCTGGCACCACTTGTTTCCGAAAATGTGTGCTCCAGACGCGATCGACCGGGAAGATCCAGGGCTCGTACTTAAGGGAGAAAATCCTGTTTTTCCACCCCTTATTGTTCCCGGGCAGGCCTTTGATGGAGCACATATCTGCTCGGGACTGCAGCATCAGGAACCCACCCCCGTAGCGGCCCGGGAGAACCTTGATCTGGTAGATGAAGTTGAACAACTCCATCGTGCACTCGGCCTCGTGCCGAGCACATATCTGCGGGAAGCAGGCGAGGATCCGATGTGCGTTCGGGCAGATCTGGGCCGGGGCGACCCGGTAGTAGGCCAAGAAGGCGTTCAGGAGGGGGGTGAAGGGAATGGCGATCGGGGCCATCAGGGAGTCGTAGTGCATCCCGATCCACTTGCCCCGATGCCTGTCAATCACGTTTCCCAGCTGCCGGCTCGTGTCGAATTCTACCCGACCCCGGAGTATTTCAGCAATCCGAGCCGCTTCGCCTTTGGTCAGCAGGCTCGTTTCTTGCTCGACACTCTCGCTGTTCAAGAATTCGAGCTCGACGGCTGGTGTGGCCGGCCCGGCCGGGTCTTCTTCGGTCTGCTCGGGAGTGTTTTCTCGATCACCTCCTCGAGGAGCAGCTTCCGGGTGGTCCCCAACCACCCGGATAGGCGTTTCCCTAACGCCCTTGGTTGGAGAACCCCGCCCGCTTGACGTGGCTCTCTCTTCCTCTTCCTCGCGGGAGCTCCCCGATCCGCTGGAGCTAGAGCTCGATGTCCCGGAGGAGCTTGATGCGCTGTTATGCTCGACGGATCGATCGGGGGCTGGCGTTGCTCGGGGGCTGGCTTCGGGAGTGTAGGACATAATGTCCACTTCCTCGTCGCTGATACGCTCGACCTCCTCATCGTAATCCGCGATCGAGGCGTTTTGGCTGTCCGAGTCCGTCATTTCGATCTACCTAACGGTCGGTCGGGGTTAGTAAAGGACTTGAGTCGTCCGGGACAGTTAGTTGACCTAGCAGTTCTACCTATAGTTGAAAGCGTGAAGTAAAGAGAAGGAGGGAGAGCTTACCGGATGAAGGAACTTTGCGAAGGAAAGCTTGAAGTTTGTTGATCGATCGCCTTGCTGAGATGCTCTGCTCGGGATTCTTAGAGGATACCGACTGAAGCAAAAGAGTGAGGAAAGTTCAAATGAGGGCCTCAAGGGCCTATTTATAGGAGGGCATTTAGGCGGGAAATGGGCCAACTTGCCTGACACGACCCGCGCTGAATCCGAGGCGACAGATGGGATCGCCGAGGCCGGCAGAGGCCGACACGTGGCGTACGAGGGAATGACAGCTGGCCGGTCGGTCTAATGCCTGACGGTTGGGCTTCTTCATCCCGTCCCGTTTTTTCCCGACTGATCAAAAAGGCCCGGGCTGGGGGGCTTTTGGTAGGGAATATCCCGACCGACATAAGCTCCACCACGACCGAGTAGCCTGTCTCTCTCTTATGATCTTTGCAGGTGGCAGGTCGGGCTTTTTCCATGAAGACCCCGGTCGGGAATGGCCGGGAGGTGCCCGAGCGATGGTGTCAACCCCGAGCGGTAGTCCTTCGGCGAGAGAGCTGACTAAAGACACGTGGCGGCTCTTTACATCGACAGGCAGGGCACCCAGGAGGATGGCACGTGGTGGCTACGTGGAAGACATGCCGAGCAGCGGGGATCTTGTCTCCGGCACAGCGGCTATAAATGCCCACAGTAGCTACAGTGTAGGGGACTTTTGGACGATCGATAGGTTGTTATTAGAGACTCCCGACCGCAGTCAGTCGGTACTCAGAGCAACCAAGTAGATTGTACTTAGGAACTCTACCTTGATCAATAAAGACTTACTTGCTTTACTTGGTCTTGTGTTATTTATATTGCTTACGTAGAATTAGCAGTATCAGTATTGATGTTGCCCAAATAAAATAATTAGATTATTTGATGTCGCGGATAAAATTCAAACTTTTACCGGAAGAAATCTTTTTAATATAAGAATACAACAAAAACAACATTAAAAAAATCAGATATACTTATTTACTTTTTAGTATACCAAAAAATATAATTTTTTTTAGCATTTGATGATACCTTGAACCTAACAACATAGACACAAATTAAATAGTAAAATGTGTGGAGAACAAGTTGTTTTTTTCAAACAAATAAAAATGTATGTAAGGTACAAACAATATAATAAAACGTTAAAAAGAAAAAAATTCAAAGATGGGACAACACATGAATCAATGTTGCGACAAAGAGCTCCATGGCCAACCATCGCTTTCTCTTGCCAACATCACTTTTGTCATCAGCTTTTCTTGCTTCTCCACTGGGGCTACCTTTAACTAGAATATTTGAACCAATGAATTAGAAAAGAATTTTAAAAATTAAAAAGAAAAAAAATAATTTAAAAAGGGAATCAACGATATAATATTAGGCATCTCCATTTGTTTGTTTTAAGGGAATTTTGGTACAATAAAATCCACCAAAAAGTCATCTTTATTGAGGATGCCCTTACAGAGTATAAAATTATTCACGAGCTCCAAAGACAATTGCTGAGCACATATTAATTATTAATTATTAATAATAATATAATACTTCTCCCAAAAGGTTGAATCTCCAATCAAAGGGTTCCCCACGCCCCGGCCCGACAGAGCATTTGGGTGGATATAAATCACGGTGACTCAACAGATATGGCCAAATATCGGTGCGCACAAAGAATCTACCTAATTTAGGCATAATCCCCACACTGTCACTGTCGAAGTTCGAACTTCGGTCTTTTTCCCAAATACTATCTACGGAACCAAAGAGTTAAGCCCGTATGGCCAATAATAATATAATACTTGAATTGGAGAGTACTAAAGTAAGTTGTTATTCCTTAATGGAATAAGGTTCAAATTGGCCACTGAACGTAACCTGAAAATGCAATTAGACCACTGAATGAACAAAAAGTGCAATTAGGCCACTGAACACTCCAAAAACGTGCAATTAGGCCACTGAACTCTCCAAACGTATGCAATTTCACCGGATAGCAGGTTACCATCAATTTTAGCAGGTTACCTGCTTACGTGGCAGCTGAGTTGGCATTTTTAATAATTTTTAAATAATTTTTAATAATTAATTTTAATAATAAATTTTATAAAAAATTGAAAAAAATTAAATAAAAAATAAAATAAAGTCATTTTTATTTTTTTAAAAAAAAAATTTTAATAAAAATTTATTATTAAAATTTATTAAAAATGATTTAAAATTTATTAAAAATGCCAACTCAGCTGCCACGTAAGCAGATAACCTGCTAAAATTGAGGTAACCTGCTATCAGGTGAAATTGCACATTTTTAGAGTATTCAATGACTTAATTGCACTTTTTTTTCGTTCAGTGGCCTAATTGCATTTCCAGATTACGTTCAGTGACCAATTTGAACCTTATTCCTTCCTTAATTTCATACCTTCAGTAACTGGGGCAGTTTTGTTGAAATCTTCAAATATCTTAGCATCTGGTGAATTGTGAGCCAAGTGCAGGAGATCTGTATCACATTTATCACACAAAAAATTAGATCATGGCACACATATAAACCACAAAGAAATTGCTATTTCATGAACTATAAGGGTATAAATTGTACACCTTAAAATATATATATTTCTTATTATAACAAAAAATTTATAATATCATAAAATGTAATTAATGCCATAGCCTAAAATAATTATGTATTTATGGAGGGTTGTATCTTGTTTTGTACTTTTGTATATATCAAAATGCACAAAATTGGTAATTTCACTATAGTCAATGGACCATTTTAGTAATTAACTTTTCAGAGAAAATAGTGCATGTGATGACCGAAATGGTCCATTGACTATAGCAAAATTACCAATTTGGTCCCGAGTTAACGGATGTTTAATGGCAAAATAAACGGAAGAGCAAATTGGTTAAGATTTTTAAAGTTGAGAGACTTAATTGGTCAAAAAATAGTCAAGGACCAAATCAGTAATTTTGTTATAGTCAAATAACCATTTCGGTAATTAACTCAATTTTATCCAAGTTAGTCTTCAACTATAGTGGTTTCTTTACTATAGTGATTTTAGTCCATTTAGAACTTCTGTACAACCCATGACTCAATTGGGTAAAACCATCACATTAAAGTCGAGAACCTAATTAAGCACAAAAAATTATTTATGACTAAATCAAGAAAAACTACTAGTCGATGACTAAATTGAGTATTGACTCCGACCCCACAATTTATTCAAATTGTCATTCATTGAGTAATGAAGAAAACTCCAATCACTCTCTCAAACGCACACTAAGACCCGTGTAGGCCAGGCCGGGATAAGGGTGAGGGACTTACCAGGGCATTGGGATATATTAGCCGGTGCATGGCACTTATCAGGAAGGCTAAGAGCAAGAGTAGCATTGATCTTAAACCCAAGGCTAGGATCATCCCTATCCTTCACCAATATACACAAACACTTCTTGCTCTTCTCCACCACCCCTTTGATCCCCGTGCAACAATCCGGCGTCGGCAATTTGGCGTCGCCGCTAACGTAAGGAAGACAAGGGGCGAGCCCGACCAGCTGGTCCGCGCATTCCGCCCTGTCCTTCGCCATGTCCGACCTCACAACACCACACAATGTTACCATGAAGAAGAAGAAGAAGAAGATAATGCAAAAACTCACACTCTTTGAATCCATTGGGAGTTGGGAGAAAAGGGCTAATAGTGTTTTGACAGAAAGAGATATATAGATAATGGGGTGATGAATTGATGATGAATGATCAGATGCCCAATTGTACTCTGCCCTTTTATGCTTTGCATGTGAATTGCAATTGCCTTTATAGATGAGTACAAAGGAATTGAAAATAGATAAAAACAAAAAAAAAAAAAAAAGGCTTATTAATGTTAGAGATCAGACCAAACATAAATAAATATGTCAGTTTACAGTTAGCATCTTAAAGTCTTCCTCAAAACATCTACCTCCATAGGTCACATGTCTTATCAATTATTTCAATATATTATTCATATAAATAATATTAATAATTATACCACACCCCATCCCGACAGAACATGTGGGAGGAGGTAAATCACCGAAACTCATCATTGGCTCAATAGACAGGACATAATCCGACACTGCCGTTGCCGAGTTTCTAACAATCTTGGTCTCTTTCCCAAATACTACCTATGTACTGAACCACATCACTAAGCTAAGTCCGCGTGGGTGTTTTGAGACTTTTTTCTAAGGTGTTAATAGGCACTCACTAATATATATATATTTTTTTTAATTTGTACTAAGTACAATTATACATGTTATGTTTGGTTATACTTGATACTTTGGAGAGTAAATGTTGATATTACCTGATAATCGAAATAATATATACGATTGTATTAAATACAAAAGATATCACTTATTATTATTTTTAAATACCTTTTATGAAAAACAAGGCTTGAATAAGATCTTTTACATACACAAATATATAGATCTTGATTTCCATCCACTATCATACAATCTATTTTTATTAAAAATTGTTTTAATTATCAAGTATTTAATTCCGATTCTAATCGGGAACTTCAGCTATCAGATTTCTGCAAAGTAACCTTGGTATATATGATTACTTGATCTATGACAATCCAATTATTAGTTTTGAACTTTATTATAAATCAAAATCTGAAGTAATATTTTATAATTATATATACCCTACCCAAGCTTCTTTGTAGTGTTTAATTTGAAACTGTGATCTAAATGTTACTTCAATTCTTTATTTTTATTTTAAATTTTCTTTATGCAATTCCTCAATTCTCCATTTTTTTTTTTCAATTTAGAAAATACGTTCACTAGAGTATAAAAACATCATTTTTCCCAACAATTTATGTTTTTTTAAGATAAAGGAATTGAAAAGAATTATATAGAAATAAGAAATTAATTAATTTAAAAAAAAAAAAAAAAAAAAAAAAAAAAAAAAAAAAAAGAAAAGCAAAAGCTTTATACATAACTTTTTGCGTGTATGAAAGCTAGAAGACAGAATTTTAAATATAATGATGTCCCCTGTAACTGGCATCCCGTGACAACATTTGTCATCTAGAAAATTATTGCTTGTTGATCCGTGATTATGTCTTCATTAATTAATGTGTAAAGTGAGTCCATAATTTCAATGTCACATGGCATACATTAATTAGGATTAAATTTGTCAATACATAAATGAATATATATTACCCTGCTTCCAACATTTTGTATATGTCTTATGTACAAATTTAATAAGAGGGAATAATGTTCTCCCATGTTTACCCTTTCATTTTTTTTTTTGAAACAATCATTTTTGTTTATTTACATTTTGACTCTATTAGTGTTTATTTATCTGTAAGGGCAATTAAAGGAGGTGCTCCATTTTAACTGGTCATAGAGGTGAAAGTTTGGAAGAATGACTAATAATCGAGTCTTACTAATGGAAGCGAAGGAGGTTCCTTGTATATATGCTTACCAAGAAGCTAAGGGCATTATGATAATTGAAGAAGGTCAAACCCTAATATCATCAATTTGTTCACTTCTTCCTATCACGTCTCTTCTTGATTCAAAGCTAGGGACTGTACTGCAGGCGGAGGGGTTTTGAGGACGTTTCGAATCAACGTCGAAGCCTCAAAGTGACTCAGCAAACGTGGTTAACTGGATTAATGATCCTCTTTTTTATGCTAAGAGTGGGGAAACCTTAGCTTAAACAACATTATTTTTTAGTGCAAGAGCGGGATCAAGAGGGGTTGGAACGCCAAGTGCTACCATGTTTTGCGTGAACAAAACCAAGCAGCGGATTGGCTGGCGAAAAACTATGGTCTTGAGCCCGAAACCAAGCAACGGATTGACTGGCGAAAAACTATGGTCTTGAGCCCGATTGACCCTGTTGTATTTTTGTTCGGAGTGCGTTCGTAAGGATTGTATCGGGACTCCTTTGTTTGTGGTGACCTTATTATTTTTTTTTGTCCCCACGGGCTTCGCCCTTCCCATTCATTTAAAAAAAAATTAATTCAAAGCAACCCAATCATTAATTCACATTTTTTATTGATTAATCTATAAGAACTTACAAAATCCTTTACAAATATTGGTTTATTATAAATACTTGCAGGTTTAGACGTAAGTAAGATTTCAACTAAACTATGTGCCGTGCACATTTAGACGCAAAATCATCTATCAAACTTTTTATATCAACTAATTCCAAAAGCTTATTTCCAATGGAGATTAAAGCTATTTCATTGACTCTCTCTTGCAACATACTTGATCGTAAGTAAGATTTCAATAATTTCAACTTTGAAAATCTCATTAGAGGCAACAGTAATTGGGATAGTCAATAATATTCGATATGCTATAGTAGCATTTAGAAAACAACCCATCTGTTTCAATGAATTCAATATACTCACTTCCCATATCTTTTATTTCAATAAAATTTCTCTAAGCAATTTTAGCTCAATATACATTTCATTTCCATTAATATCACCACTGCACACTGTTCATTGAGATTTGGGAATATAATTGAATTAAAAAATAAAATTAATAGTAATTGCTAATTACCAGAACGTCCCGATCGAAAATGCTAATTGTTATTTGAGATTTTGAATTGGGAATTTCCAAAAGCAGAGAAGAGATTCAAATGATTAGAAAATATATATATATACATACATATATATTCTTTTTTTTTTTTGAGTTTTAAAGTAATTATCAATTGGGCTCAATTTTACCTATCACAAATTGGTCCAATCTCCCTACACTAAGCCTAAAATCATGTATACTATATATACCTAATATAATTTTCTTTAAATATGGGACCCCAAAAATTGGGGGCCCTGTGCGGTCGCACATGTTAGACATGCTCAGAACCGGCCCTGCTATTCTATTATGATGTGAAGAGGATTTTTCAAGAAATAATCAATAGTCTTTTAAAACATGCATGAATGTTTTCATTCTTTCAATCATACAAAGCAATGTGCATTGAAAAACATATTGTAAAATAATTTAATATAGATACAATTATAAATGATTTATTATAAACTTTATTAAATTTGTAATGTAATAAAATTTTGAAATATGTTAACTGGATCAATGTATTTGATTTAGTACTTCAACCGTAATGGGTCTCCCGCATCATTCAATCCTGTCTCCACCCGCTAGTCGACAAAACTCGGTGAGATCTCGACTTGACTGCACCTCCTCAGTGATGAAATCGCTCTTTTGCGTCAACGATTAACGAGGATCTCGATTCGGATCTTTCAACCGACCCATTCCGGTAGGGTATGTTCATCTGAGCTTCGCCGGCCTTCCACTGCCAAGCATAGAAATCTCGTCGTTCAGAACATGTAAGCCTCTGAAAGCCGACGACGACTCTGACGGCGTGCGGAGGCTGAGCTATTAAATGTCCGGAAATGAAAAAAATGAAAAAATCAACGGACAGAAAATTTATAAAATCAAGTTCACAAAAATATCAATTGTAGCTTGCACAATGTGCATCTATTTTTTGTGAAAAAAAACAAAAAAAGAGGAACCGGTAAAAATTGAAGAAATAACTAGACTGATTAATTAAGAGAAAATTCTTACCTCATATTGGAGATTTGTGTCATTTTCACGCAATCGTTTACCAGAAACTTCTTTCTCCGTGAGTAACAAATCAATGAATCATCGCTGCTCGATGAAGCCGGCGGCGACGTGAAACCACCTGAATATCCTCTGAATCTGTCTTCATCGTCATCCTCTTCCTCCACTTCATCATCATCCTCGAACTCATCTTCGGCGAGATACTCTTCACGGCTCACCTCTGCCTCAGGTCCACTCCTCGCACCACTTTCAAAGCATCTTTCATAGGTGGAAACCATAGATCCTAGCCTGGAGCTGCCATTGGCGACCATAGCCATGGCCTCCGTTGTCCTTTATGAATTCGAACGCCTCCGTTCTGATTCCGCCGCTGCAGCCGTCTCAGTCGCAGTCGAGGAGTCGTTGTTGGCGCCCAGCACTAGATTGCCCTTGTTCCAGAGGGCGCGGCGGCCATGGCCGCTCTCCTTCCAAATTTGAAAGACGGCCATGGCCGGCTGGGTTTTTTTTTAATATATATATATATATATATATATATATATATATATATATATATATATATATATATATATACTCCGTATATATTAATAAATAAATAAATAAATTTATAAAAAAAAACAAAATTAAAAAAAAAATTTTAAAAGACACGTGTCAACAATGTGAGGACTTTAACCTGTGGAACAAGTCACTTGGGACTTAATTGAACAATTTTACAGATTTAGGGGATCTAAATGAAGCTTTTTTTTAGTCAAGTGATCCAATTGCACTATCCGATCGACTTAAGGGGCCAATTTGATCTTTTTCCTTATTCATATAGTGAAAAGTAATATTGCCTTTAAATTTATTATACACTTTTTTTGTGGTAACCAAACTTGAATTCTTATTCAATTACAATACATAAATTTATATAATATATATCAAAATATATGATATGTCACAAAAATTTTAGAAGTTTAGAAAGATTAAATTAAAGTTGTTTGCCAAGATCTTGTGGTCTAATGGCACCCGGGTTGCACTCCCATATAGAAGGGAGTGGATTTGAGTCTTAGTGGAGGCAGTATTGACTTTTTGTACTTCAGTTGATTGAGAAAGTAGGAAAGTTGTGGGTTTGAACCTTAGTGAAGGTGATAACAGATACTAAAAAAATATATATCATTTTAAAATTTAAAAAAAATCTACAAAACTCATGATTAAATACACCTTTCTTATTTTTTTTACTAACTTATTCAAATTATATATTTACATATCCTTGTCAAACTGACGCTAATTATGTATAAAAAAATAAACTGACACGAATTAATTTTCGCTAAAACAAGCCTAGAGCAGAAATATGGTATTGAATTATGTCAATCCAACTTTGCAAAGCATTTAAATGATTTCAGAGAAAATTGTAAAAAAATGCCCCTCAATAATATGTCAATTATCAATGTCACTCCTGAATTATGAGCAGTGTAAATGTTGTCCCTCAATTATCAAAACGGTGCACATATAGCTCCTCCCGTAAGTCGTAACGGACATGTGGTTCCTCGTTAGTGTACGACACCATTAAGTCAGATTAAATATGTAATTTAGTTGTTTTTTCCTTCCCTCGAAGTACCAACGATGGACAACGGAAGGGGAACCACAGATCCGTTACGGGAGGGGCTATATGTGCACCATTTTGATAATTGAGGGGCAACATTTACACCACTCATAATTCAGGGGTGACATTGATAATTGGCATATTATAGAGGGGCATTTTTTACAATTTTTCCATGATTTCATTGAAAAATAATTAATTCTAACTTTTAATATATATTTATATCAATTGTCTTTACTAAATCTTATGCCATTTCTACAAAACATAATAGAGATAATCATTTTACTTTTAAAAGAATTTTTCTTAGATTATAGTAAGAAGATCAATTGACAAGGGAGAGAAATATTTGTAATATGAAATATTGATCATCAAATCAATAACATTCAGTACTATATGTACTATATTTATTCAACAACCATGAATTACATAGAATAAGTTGAAAAGGAGTGAAAATCCCCAACATCCGTGTAACCAAAACTTAATTAGATATGTTTCGATTGATCAAAATCCTTATTGCTACTATAGCCGAGATTATTATCGTGTGGTAGAGCAGGACAAATGCACTTGTGTAGAGTTGTGTTACAAAAGCAATGTGATATTCGGTCACATTCATGATTGCTATTGCACCCAGCAACCATCGTGGGTGGTGTGCCTGCAAAAACTTTAATATTTAGTTTTTCATTTCTCAACAATGAGTTACATACAATCACAATTTGTAATTATACATTACATTTACACTACCTAAACTCACTAAAAATTTTAAAACTCTCTTTATACCAAATTACAAGTCATATCTGGATAACGAGACTTGACTTTTTATTTATTAATTTAGTTTTTAATAATATTTAATTTAAAGAACTTTTTTATGATGCCGATAGCAAGTATCATTTACAACAAAACGTTTTCGGTCCAATGAAAATGCCAACCAAATACGGTTAATAATATTGTTTTTTCATAAAGAAAAATTATATTACAAATTCTTTTAAACACCAAAAGATTTTGTATTTATAAAATTTTGTTAAAGAAAATAAGTGAAACAGAAATATTGATTTAACAAATTAATGTACAATAATTTAAACTCCAATAGGGAGGATATTATCTAATTAACAAAAAAAAAAAAAAAAAGGATTGGACTTACAAAATGCTATTAGGGAGAGAAGGAGAGCACACCACAAGAGTTTGCACGCCATTTCTACGGAAGGATTTTTTTGGATGGGATGACTAATAATCTTAGAAACTGAATTGCTTTTAAGAGATATGGAATGAAATTATTGGACACTTTTCCTCTATTATATAGCAATAGACTACCTACAAGATTAACGCCCCAATTGATATATTTGGTGAGCACTGGTACAATTTTAAACAAAACAATTTTTTTTTCCAAAACTATGCTTACGTTATTATATTAGCATTGAATGAATTATTTTCTATAAAAACAATCCCAATTCGTATATTTGGTGAGCACTGGTAAAATTTTAAACAAAATATTTTTTTTCTTCCAAAACTATGCTTACGTTATTATATTAGCATTGAATTGAATTATTTTCTATAAAAAAATTATTAGTCGATGTGCAATTTTGATTCTTCAATTAATTATAATATAATGGTAAATTTAGGGTGTGTTTGGTTCGTACATGGGAATCGGAATCGGAATGGGTATCAAATACTTGGTAATGGTAATGGGTTTTGGTGAAAGTATTTGACATTTTGGTAGTAAGGTGGAATGAGAATAGTTACTAATAGTAGTGTTTGAGAATGAATAAAGAATGAAACCCTTATTTTATTTGGATATGAGTTTTTCAATTGATGGGGTATTCGAAATCCATAGTAGTGTTCTAAAAATGTATTAACCAAACAATAACAATCACTTTCATACTCATTCATATGGGCAAAACCTTCAACCAAACACACCCTTAGTCTTTATATTCTCCCCAAACTTCATTCGTATGACAAACTGAGCTGCGCCCATGTATATGTATGGTCTTTATATTCTTCCCAAAATGTTGAATTTCCAACCCCAAGGCCCCCCACACCCCGGCCCGACAAAGCATCTAATATTTGAAATGTACATTTAGGGTGTGTTTGGAAACCTGGAAAATGAGTTTTGGAAATCATTTTCCAAGTTTCCATTGTTTGGATGTGCTTGGAAAATCAAGTCAACGGAAATAATTTTCCGTTGACTTTGAAAAATAGGCTTGTTTTGGAGGAAAATGACTTCCTTTTTTTTGGGGGGAAGTCATTTTCCAACTTTTACACCAACATCACACCACCACCAACATCATCAACGCCATACCACCACCACCACCATACCACCGCTGCCGCCGCCGCCACCACCATACCACCGCCACCACCACCATACCACCGCAACCACCACCACCCCACCACCATCACACCACCACCACCACACCACCACCATCACACCACCACCACCACCACCACGACATCACCGCCGCCGCCACCACCACCATACCACCGCCACCACACCACCACCATCACATCACCACCACCACCACCATACCACCGTAACCACCGTCGCCGCCACCACCACCACCACTACCACCGCTGCCGCCACCACCACCGCTGCCGCCACCACCACTATACCACCGCAATCACCGCCGCCACCGCCGCCACCACCATACCACCGCCGCCGCCACCACCACCACTACCATACCACCGCAACCACCGTCACCACCACCACCACCACCACCACCACCAGTTATTATTATTATTATTATTATTATATAACAAATAACACCACTACCACTACACCACCATAATATTTTTGATATATTATTAGTTATTTTTTTTATTATATTTAAAATTATTATTATTATATTATTGTAGATGTTGTAATATTCTAAATAAAATAATTAAAATGTTTAATTATACAATTCTACTCATTTTCCAAATAATGAACCAAACACAAAAAAACAGTTTTTCAAAATGCAACCAAACACTGGAAAGGAAAATGTTTTTTGAAAAATGACTCATTTTCCAGAAAATATTTTTCAAAAGTCATTTTCATGCTTTCCAAACAGACTCTTATTTGAAATGATAAGATTTGTATATTAATGTTGAAATTAATTACATAAAAATTATATTAAGAAAAGTCTAAACAAAAAATAAAAGGAAGAGCGTGTCTAATTGATATTATTTTAAGTAACAAAAATATAATATAATCAAATGAAGGAAATCTCTATGTTTAATTATCAAGATTAAAGTGTTAAATACAGGTCGGTAATATGGACGTAATATGGGTATGTTTATTTTCCTTTAATTATGGACGTAATATGAGTATGTTTATTTTCCTTAAATTATCCACCATAATATGTATATGTTTAATTTCCTATATGGGCAGGAAAATTTATCATTAATTCCAACAAAAACGAGGTCATTTTATTATAATTACTATATGGTAATTAAGGAGTATATATATCATTCTTAATTAATATTATGCTAACTATGACGTCCATGTAATCTGAATAATTAATTATGATAATTAATGAGTATATATTATCCTCTGATATAAAATAGCAATAAGAAATAGCAAATGCAATTTGGCAAAAGTTCTCGCTCAGTTAATACGACATTGTTTGGGTTGCTGGACTATTTTGGACTTTGAACTTTTTGTTTTCAAAAAACCATTAATTACATTAAGATTTAAATATCTTAGTATTTGAAAGGTTGTTCACATATCAGAATTATTGATCTAAAATACCTTTTGCACTCCTCAAAACTAACATTAAATATACCAAACTTTCTATAAACCTGCAACACTATAAATACACCCTCACTATTCAGAAAATAGCCTGTACATGGAGGTGAGAGGGAGAAAATGGTGGAGCTGCATAAGGGATGTTTGGAGAGCATTCACAAGGATGAAGAAGATATTTGCTTGAAGAAT